AACCAGTAGAAGAAAAGAAATAATAAAAACCAAAGCAGAAATAAATGAAATTGAAACTAAAAAAACAATCCAAAAGATCAATGAAACCAAGAGCTGGTTCTTTGAAAAAATCAATAAAATAGACAAACCCCTAGCCAGGCTCACAAAGGAAAAAAGGGAGAAAGCACAAATAAACAGGATCATCAATGAAAGAGGAGAAATCACAACGGACACAGCTGAAATCAAAAGAATAATCAGTAACTACTATGAACAGTTATATGGAAACAAGTTCAACAATCTAGAGGAGATGGACAAATTCCTACAACTCTACAATCACCCAAAGCTAGATAAAGAAGAAATAGAACTCCTAAACAGACCAATTACAATTAGCGAAATTGAAATGGTAATCAAAAATCTCACCAAAAACAAAAGCCCAGGACCTGATGGATTTACAAATGAATTCTACCAAAGAGTCAGAGACGAATTAGTGCCTATCCTTCACAAACTCTTCCAAAAAATTGAGAAGGAAGGGACAATACCAAACACGTTCTATGAAGCCAACATTACACTAATACCAAAACCGAACAAGGACAACACAAAAAAGGAAAACTACAGGCCAATATCCCTAATGAACACTGATGCAAAAATCATCAATAAAATTTTAGCTATCAGAATCCAACAATGTATCCATAAGATAATTCACCACGACCACGTAGGATTCATTCCAGGGACACAAGAATGGTTTAACATCCGAAAATCAATCAACATTATCCAACACATCAACAAAAAGAAATATAAAAACCATATGATAATATCAATAGATGCTGAGAAAGCTTTCGACAAAGTGCAACACCCATTCATGATAAAAGCCCTTGAAATTCTTGGGATACAAGGAACATACCTCAACATCATAAAGGCCATCTATGACAAACCAACAGCCAGTATCATTCTCAATGGTGAAAAGCTGAAAGCAATTCCATTAAGATCTGGAACAAGACAAGGATGTCCACTCTCACCACTGCTCTTCAATATAATACTGGAAGTCCTAGCCAGAGCAATAAGACAAGAGAAAGACATCCAAGGAATACAAATAGGAAAAGAAGAAGTCAAACTATCACTATTTGCAGATGATATGATAATATACATAGAGAACCCCAAAAACTCCACAGAAAAACTAATTCAACTCATCAATCAGTTCAGTAAAGTGGCAGGATACAAAATCAACACGCAAAAGTCAGTAGCCTTCCTATACACAAACAATAAATCTGAAGAAGAAGAAATCAAAAAAACCATCCCTTTTGTTATTGAAACAAAAAAAATCAAATATTTGGGAATAAATCTAACAAAAGAGGTAAAGGACCTATACAAAGAAAACTATAAAACACTGTTAAAAGAAATAGAAGAAGACACAAAGAAATGGAAAGACATCCCCTGCTCATGGATTGGAAGAATAAACATTATTAAAATGGCCATCCTTCCAAAAGCTATAAACAGATTCAATGCTATTCCAATCAAAATTTCAATGTCATTCTTCAAAGAAATAGAACAATTATTGATGAAATTCATATGGAATCACAAAAAAACCCCGAATAGCCAAAGCTCTCCTGAAAAAAAAAGAAGGGAATGGAGGCATCACACTCCCAGACTTCAAACTCTACTACAAAGCCACAATCATCAAAACTGCATGGTATTGGAACAACAACAGACATACAGACCAATGGCATTGAATAGAAAATCCAGAAATAAACCCACAGATTTATGGTCAACTAATCTTTGACAAAGGAGCAAAGACTATGCATTGGAGCAAAGAAAGTTTGTTCAATAAATGGTGCTGGGAAAACTGGGTCGCTACATGCAAAAGAATGAAGCTTGACCACTACCTCACACCATACACAAAAATCAACTCAAAATGGATTAAAGAACTAGACATAAGACCTGAAACCATAAAATATATAGAAGGAAATATAGGCGAAACACTAAGTGATTTGCACATCAAAGACATCTTTACAGACACATCACCCAAAGCAGTGATAGTGAAGGCAAAGATAAACAGCTGGGACTACATCAAATTAAAGAGCTTCTGTACAGCAAAAGAGACAATAACAAAAACAAAGAGAAACCCCACCAACTGGGAGAACATTTTTGCACACAACACTAATGATAAAGGACTGATCACAAAAATCTGCAAAGAGCTGATGAGACTCAACAACAACAAAGAAAATAATCCAGTCAAAAAATGGGCAGAAGAGCTAAAAAGAAACGTCTCTGAAGAGGAAATGCAAATGGCCAACAGGCATATGAAAAAATGTTCAACATCACTTGTAATCAGGGAAATGCAAATCAAAACTACCAGGAGATACCATCTTACACCAGTGAGAATGGCACATATTAAAAAAACTAGCAACAACAAGTGTTGGCGAGTGTGTGGAGAAAAAGGAACTCTTCTGCACTGTTGGTGGGAGTGCAAACTGGTCCAACCACTATGGAGAGCTGTGTGGAGATTTCTGGACATACTAAACATAGAGCTTCCATATGATCCAGCAATTCCACTCCTAGGTATTTACCCAAAGGACACAGAAACATCAATTCCAAAGAACACCTGCACCCCTATGTTTATAGCAGCACTGTTTACAATAGCTAAGCTTTGGAAACAGCCCAAATGCCCAAAAATAGATGACTGGATTAAGAAGATGTGGTACATATATACCATGGAATATTACTCAGCATTCTAAAAAGATAAACACATGCAATTTGCAGCAACATGGATGGCTTGGAAGGGATCATGCTCAGCGAAATAAGCCAAAAAGAAAAACAAAAATACCGGATGGTCTCACTCATAGCAGGAATGTAGAAAACTTAAATAAGGGACCAGAAAAATGAATAACTATAAGAAAGTGAAAATCTAAATCAACAAAAACTATGAACCAGAGACACTTTTTGGGAGGTGATGGGCAGGAGGGGAGGGATTGGGGTCAGAATGGGGGTGTTGCAATTGTATGGGGAATATAAAAATAAAATTTATTAAAAAAAAAAATTTAAATGCAGTCTCAAAAAAAAAATAAAACTGAGGTGTGAGATAGTCTAGTGACATCAAGCTACTCTAAGGTTAATGGTATTTGATAATGTTTACAGTTTTCTTTTCACTCTGAAGCACACAGTACATTAGCTGGGCATATAACAGGGAATCAAATTTTATTTATTGAATGACTGAACAGAAACTGCTACATTTTCCTAATGTAATAACAATTAAAAATTAATATGCTTAACTTTGTCAGGAAAAAACAAAGAGCTTATCTTCTACTTTACCCAACTTCTCCATACGCCCTCTCTCGCCTTAATTTTTGCAATGGCCCCTGATTGGTCCAGGCACTGTTATATGCACATTTTATACTTCTATCTGTTTGATCATTAAAACAATCTTATGAGATAGGGACCATTACAACACATCTTCTGGCTAAACTGACTGTGATTTGGAGAAATGCTCCTTAGACAGGTCTCTGCTGGACAGCCAGCAGGTGTCCTCACCCTTGTGCCAAGGGCTGTAACCATTACACTACAATGCATCCTTTTTAGCTCATTTTTATCTTTCTGGCCTGAGCTGCTCACTTTCCTCCACGTGGTACAGAACCCTCTCATCTTCCTAGGAAGAAGAGTTACTAAAGTTAAACCAGAAACTTTAAAAAAGGTAAGTCCTAAATGTAAACACTATTCCATCTCCAAGCAAATCATGCCCTGCTCTTTCTAATTCTCACCCAGATTGTTTTCAACTAGTATTCCCTTGTAAATTCTCTAACCAGAAATGAAGGAAATAGTAAGGGGGGAAAAGTCAATAAATTTATATTCCAAATAACTCTAAGTCACTTAGCTTCTATAAAAAATTAGTGAACATGTAGCTACAAAAGTAATGACCATCATGAGCCAGCAGAGATTCACCAAGAACATTTTATCTGTCTTCACCTGCATTTTTAATAGGGTACCTCAATCAGAAGATCCAGGGAAGCCTTAGATAACATACAAGAATTAAGCTTCTCTAAAGAGGGCAGGGGATGGAAAAGTCCTTCTGAACCAAAGGAAAAAACTGAGTCCAACAACAGTGTCTACATAGTTTCATAGTTGGTTGACCATTACAGCCAGTGGTTTTTTTACAAGGTCATTGTTAACACATATTTCTTGGGTTAATGTCATACTGTTCAGTTTTTAAGAACTAATCTAAAGAATTCACTGAATTGAAGACACACTTCACACTAAGTATAACTCTCCATGATTGTTACACAATTTTAAGTATTTAGTAAGCATAAATACCTAATACTCCATTACTATTTCCCAGTTTTGCCCTTGAATCCCCTGATGACTGCAGCAGTACTACTTTCAGATATACGCTGAGATGTACGGGATTGTCTTTTGTTCTAGTCTCACTAAATGGGAGCCTCCCAACTCAGCATACTGAGGTAGAACACATGGATTTTTTTAAATATACTACACACAAAATTTGCAAAAAAAAAAAAGTATTTTCTTGTAGACATCATAATATAAAGTTATATTTTATAGATTTCTGGGGTTGTGTCTTCGGGCTGAGAGAAAAGAGGGGTAGCCAAATGTACCAGACCTAGAAAGAAAATTCAGCTACAATGTTCCTTTGTACTCCTGCCCTATCTGTATCTAATAACAAAAAAACACTCTTAATTTGCAATACATGTTAGGATTCTAAGCTGGGTTTATTTTTTTTGTTTGTTTGTTTTGTTTTTAGGCAAAGTGGGCTTTGGGGCTTATGTCTGTATCACTTCCACAAGGATTTACAGAGCACATTTTACAACACTGTAAAATGTTGTTACCATTTCACCTTTCAGAATCCTGTGCAGTCCAGGTTCCAGCAGTCCTAAAACCCAAACTCAGGCCCAACTCCAAATGCCATGTTTCTGCTCCAGAGCACAGAGCTCTTAAGAGCCCAGCATCACACCTGATCCTACAGTCTCTTGAGATTCCTGGACAGAGAGAAAAGAGTAGAACAAAAGTGGACCCACCTCTGCACTCAGAAGTGGGCAGTCTAAGAGAGTCAAATGATGGAGCAGCCTGTGGGAAGAAGCAACAGGATGATCGGGTCCAGAGAAGCTAGGAAAACTGGAGCAGAGCACAGGACACACAAGTCAGGTAGAACAGCAATGAGGCTAACTTGAAAGTTCGGCTTCCTATATTTCTTACAAAAAATCTTACCCACAGGAGGAAGCAGGGAAAGCTGGGAAAGCTGCTCTAGTTATTTCTTCCAATTGTTTTTCTAGATTAAGAATATTACAGATTTGTGTGTCTCTCATCTGTCATACTAGTCACCAACTACCTTTCCCTGAGGTATTCAAGTGCATTTCATTCATTCGATATGCCAGACCTGTGTTAAAGGTTGGGGCTGCAGTAGGAAAGATGACACAGAAGTCTTGCCCTAAAGTTGTTGACGTTCATTAGTAAAGTCCACCTGAAAAAGACTGAAGGAGACCTCCCAGTGCAAATGTTTCCAATTAGTGGTCAGTGTTTATAGCAAGGAGCTGAATTTGTACTTTCAGAATATGTAGATATCTGGTCAATAAAAGCACAGATCATTAGAACTTGTATCTGATAACAGGAGATAAGAGTTAAAAATAATTTGTTGTTTTAGAAAGTGGGTAACTCCATCCTTGAAAACAAAGTCTGTTACAAACATAGCAGTCAAATATAGTTCCAGAGAAAAGCTATGTTTGAGTCCTCACTGTTCTATTGTAACAGGGTGGTCCCCAGGAAAGGGGGAGGTTCCCTGCCCCACCCACGGGAGGGTGGAGCTGAGCAGAGGAGACTGAGGAAGGAAGCAGGATGGAGCGAGAAGGAGACCTGGAGGAGGCACATGGAGCCTAGAGACACGTGAAGAAACTGTGCTTGTCTTTTGGTCGTGGACTGGGTGACACAGATGTGGGTGAGACCCATGGGGAGGTGACAATGGCAGCTTTTACCTTGATTTTGATTTTGCTCTTTTCCTTCTGGGCTTGTCTGGTTGTTTCTGACCCTTTTCTGTGGGTCCCCACTGGAAGGTGCTTTAGATTTGTGGCAGGCTTTGGGGCCTTGCTCTGGGTCAGTCCCATTTGGATGGAGTTTTACCCACGACAGGACGGGTAATTTTGGGTACTTGATTTAGAAACTATATTCTTTGCCTTTCCTGTGTTGTTTCCTAATTGTATTAAAGTTCCTTCCCATTAAAGTCTCATATGTTTTGTGTTGATGCGGCGGATGGCAGAACCCATTTAGAACAGGCAAGTTTGCAGGGTTTGGGCTGCCCCTCTCCCTGCCCTATAACACTATTAGGATTAGGTGACTGAAATCAGTGTGAAATATTTTAACAGGAGCAGTGTGTCTTTATTCTAACTTAAAAGAGTATCATCAAAGTACACAGCTTAGGGGTTTAGGAGAAATCTATGTTCTAGTACAGAAGTAAACAAACTTCTTTGTGTTATAAAAGCCTAGAGAGCAAATATTTTCTTTGTCATTTGTCTCTATTTCAGCTACTCAACTTGCCTTGGTAGCAAAAATGAAGCCACAGACAATATGAAACAAAGTGTGGCTACACTTACTCGAATTAAACTTTAATTTACAAAGCAGGCTGCTGATCTGCAAGCATCTGTTCTAGACACATGAGATGGCATACCTTAGAACCTCAATGAAATATACTAAAATCTCTCCTCTATGTTTCCTCATGACCCAAAGGGTCATCCAACTGAAAGCAGGAGCCCTAGTCTACATGAGGGTTCCTGGAAGGTAGACAGGGCTGATAAGCATTGATCTGGGCTGTGGATGCTATCAAGGGACAATAAAAGGCCTTGCCTTCCTGATTTGGTGTCTGTATTCAAGGTCAGACATAGACAGAATGAGAGACTGACAATCTAGCTTAGTTTTCCGGGTTTTATTTCTTATTTTCTCAGAGCTCCAAGGAACATGTGTTATCTCCTTGGCCAAATCTCCTGTCCTGCAGCTTCTTAAAACCCCACCCTAATGATATTCTGTGGCTTCGTCTCCCTCTAATCTCAATGTTCACCCTATAAATTGACATGCTTCTAGCTTGTCAATGCATTCATCTTTCCCTCTCCTGTTAACTCCTGACCTCATTCATGAAGCCATAGGTTTGACCATCTTTCACTCAGTGAGCAGAGATGAGCAAGGATAGCTGTTACAGCTGCAATAGAAAAGTGTAACTGGCATAGAATTGTGACAGGGATAAAGGCATTTCCAAAAATTGGATTCTACCTGTATCATTCAATGTTGGACAGAAGAGAGACGGAGAGTGGGCACATCACTTGAAGGGGGAAAGAAAGAGAAAAAAGTATCTATGCAAGTATTTTCTTAGGGATAAAGACTTGATTCTGAACATTATGACCACCAAATTAAGTTACACAGTTAATTTTCCTGAAGTGTCGTGTTATTTTAATTATACATATATGCCTATATATCTCCATATATAATGTGTGTATATATATATATATATATATATATATTCCAAAATGGTTTATTAAAGTTTAACTCTTGCACTTTGGGGTTCGAAATATACTAGAATATACAGCAAAACTTGTAGCTGTGTAAATGATCCTTAAAGCCTTATAAAGAAGACTATTAATGTCAAATTTAACAAACTGGGATAATTGATATATTTAAATATAATGAACTTACCTGTAAAATTTCACATGCGAATAAAGCATTAGCTGAAGTTTTTTGTTTTCTGTATCCCATGCTTTAGTTAAACAATTTGCTGTAAGCTATTGAATAGAAGAACAGAAAAAGAATATATGGGTGATAAATCAACACCCGGCATTATGAATCTAAAGTCAATGTTCTATAACTAGATAGCTGCTAAATAAGCAAATTATTACCCATCGATACCCTTTTCATTTTTGGAAAATCCTGATCCTCTCCTCTTTCTCTCAGATCACCTCATGCATCTACCCTGAAATTATATTTTGCCTCTGTTTTGATAAAAGACTATTTTCAAGGCTGCAATTACCCAATGGGTTATTCACTTGAATGAACTTTTTAGTCTAGAAGAAAAAAAATGTCATGGACTCTAATCTCTTAATTTTAAGTAGTTTTCTAGACTGAGCAAGTTCAATTTGCACCTTTATAACAGGCATCACCACATTTAAGAACACAAAATCAGTTACCTACCTCTGCCTAAGTTGCCTGGACAAAGTTAAAACAAACTTCTCAGTTGAAGACTGCAAACTCAATCTTTCTTATCTCTGAAGCAGACAAAAATATATGGTTGGTAGTTGTTCCTTGGTAGCAGCTCCTCTGCACAAAGCAGCCACCTCCTAAACGCTGCTGCTAGGTGCAGAAAACAGAGGAAAGAAAACTGCCTCTGCCTTGCAATCTCCCTCCTACTACAGCAGTAAGGAGTGGAAGAGAAAGGTGACTAAATGCGATCCAGGTTTGCTGCCGACACCACTCTGTACTACTCGGAAAAGTCAGACTCCACGGCACCTTTTAGATTTATTTTAAGACACCCTGGATACTTCTTAAGAGTGCTGCTTACCGTCACACAGACCCAGCCCCTAGGCGTTTTCTCCTCTCTGCCCAATGTGTCCTTTCTTCTTCTTAAGGCCAAGTTCCTCCCAACTCCTCCCTAACCGGGTCCCGGAGCCCTTTCCCAGGGCCTTGGAAATGGGTTCGCTCCAGGCCTGTTGGGGTTTTACCAACAACCAAACACTAACTCCATCCTCTCTGCCGCGCGGCCGAGGCGCCCAGGGTGGTTTTCCCCAGAGCTGCCGGGGCGACAAGAAAGCGGGGTCGGCGCCCTAGAGCAGAACCGGGCGGGCTGCGCGGCTCTAGCAACCGCGGCCTGCACTGGCCGCGCTCCCAGGCGCTCCTTCGCGCGGCCCCCTGCCCCGCCGGGCCCTTTCTCCAGGGCTTACCCGGGTCAGGCAATTACTCACCCGCTAGGCCCGAGGCCCCGGGGATGCTGCTCGCCGCGCCACCCCAGCCGCGCTCCACCCTGCCCACCCACCGACCTCTCACCTCTCACCTCGGCGTAGAGGAGGGAGGTGCGTCTCAGAAGAAGCTGCTCGGAAGGCCACGGAGAGCTGCCAGGCCTCTGGGCCGCCCCTGCGCCCCTGCCTCACACACCCCTCCCGCGCCGGCGCGCCCAGCTCCCGCTCGGACTCGGGCTCGGGCGGGCGGCCCGCCCACGCGCCCGCCCGCGCACACGCCGCCTCCCGCAGCACACGCAGGGCCGCGCCCGCGCAAGGCAGGCGCAGAGGCAGGCCCGGGAGCGCCCGCTAGCTCCCGCGCTGGCGTGGCCCACGCACCCACAACACCTGGCGCTCACCTGGGAGCGCCTTCTGTGGTATATCCCCTCCATCTGCGTTCCAAGGTGGTGGTGGTGTTAAGTGTGCATGCTACACTTGAGCCTGGCAGGGTTTAGGCAGCTTTATGGCAGTCCTTGGCAAGGATCACTTACCTTATTAAAGATAAGGTTTTCTTTAAATGATGTCCATGTTTCCCAGACACGTTCATGAATCCGGGCTGTTCTGGAGGGGTCTTCTTTGTAAAATCTTCTTTAAGACACCTTGGGAAGTCACTTGCTCTCTCAGGAGAAAGGTATGTGCTCCTTCAAGTGTATGTGGGAGAAAGGTGAACTGCAACTCTGGTCTGTGTGGACAGGAGTCGCCTGCGCTCAGGAAGTGCCTTTTTTTTCTTTTTCTTTTTCTTTTTTTAATTTATATATATTTTACATCATTGTTCATTTTAAAACAATGTTTGCTTCCCCCCCAGCCCAGGTGTCTCCATAGAATTCCCTTGATGGTGCACCCCTGCACCATCACCACAATCCCCTGTGCTCCTCCCTCCCTCCTCCTCCCCTGCTGGATGTCTGTGGTTTATAATTGTTTTTGTTTTGTTTTGTTTTGTTTGTGTGTTTTTATTGCTATTATTTTTTCCCCTGATGTCTTATTTGGCTTCCCTATATTACTCCTATAAGTGAAACCATCCGATATTTTTCTTTTCTAAAGAGGAAATGCAAATGGCCACCCTGCATATGAAAAAATGTTCAGCATCCCTTGTAATCAAGGAAATGCAAATCAAAACCACAATGAAATAACCACCTTACACCAGTAAGAATGGCACATATCAAAAAAAAACTAGCAACAACAAATGTTGGCCAGGATGTGATGAAAAAGGAACTCTCCTACATTGCTGTTGGGAGTGCAAACTGGTTCAACCACCCGGAAATGGTTCTTGAAACTCTCCTTTGGTCTGGAGAATTCAAGGAAGTTCAGTCCCACCGGAGTCCTTCCCAGTTAGTACTCCTTGGGAGGAGTGTTCAGCCTGGGAGCTAGGTGTTGTATATAGGTTTTTGCTGTACCAGTTTTTGGGTGGAAATGGTTCAGTTAATCCAGAAATAATGTTCCCTAATTTCTCAGCACCCTTGCAAAAATCATGAAAACAGTTCCTTATTCTGGCCTCTTGACTGTGGAACTGTGAACAGCTTGAAAAATGAGAGAATAGTTTAGTGAATATGCATATATACATTCCCCCAAGATTCAATAACTATGTGTTTTCCCATACGGCTTTCTTTCCCTACTCCTCCCATTGATAAGAAATTGTAAGCAGAATCTCTGTGTCATGAGTGCCATCTCCCTCAATTACATCTCAGGACCTTTACAACTCCAAGCATGCTGTAATTTGACTTCGTGGACAGAGGAGCTGCTGGGAAGAAGAAAGGAGCTAGGCAGTCATGTTGACCAGGAAGAGCTAAAGCCATTTGGTGGACATTTCTCCTGGTCTTTCTTCTTTCATTAATGGTTTTGGTGCTTCGGAAGGTGACAGGATCCCACTGTCTTGAGATTATGGCAGTCACCATCTTGACCTGGAGTGTATTCAGCTTGGATGGTACATTTTGAGCTTCGTTTTCTCCTCCAGCATTCCTGAGGGAGCCGTGCAACCTCTTGCTTGTGTGTTCTAGATTCTTTCTCCTGGTAGCTCTGCTTTGAGTCCAACCATTTCTACGGAGAGAATGGTTGATTTCAGAGTTTGATTGGTAGTCCCTATTTTGAAATCCTTGTCTCTCCTCTTCTTCTCTCTCTATTCCCTTTGAATTTCTCACTGATTAAAAATCTGTAAGATGTGGTATATAATACACACTGGAATACTATTCAGCAATCAAAAAAGATAAAATGCCATGTGCAAGCAACATGGATGGAGCTGGAGGGGATTATGCTCAGGGAAATAAGTCAAAAGGAAAAAGAAAAATATCAGATCATTTCACTTAGAGGAAGAATTTAGGGGAACCAAATTAGGGATCAGGGACCAAAAAAAAAGATAAAACTAACAGGCAACTATAAATCAGAGACATTAAACAGGGGAGAGGGAGGGAGAGGGATTAAAACAGGGGTGGGAAGAGCATAAGAGACTATGGGGATGGCTCATGGGTGACTTGGGGTTGGGAATTTTAGGGAAATACACCTTAGAGGAGAAATCAAACATTACACAAAAAATGAACAATGATGTAATATATATAATATATATGAAAAATCTTAAGGAGATTTTTTTTAATTAAACTAGAGTTTTAATTTAATTAAACTAGAGTTTGATTACTTTGATTTTAATGTACATGGGTGGGCATGAAATTCTTAAAATAGGTAAAATTGTTTTTTCCCTTTCATAATTTGGGGCACCCCTGGGTTTTGCTGAATATAAAAACCAAGCAGCCTCCATTACAAATCAATTAATATGTGTGTGTGGGTGTGTGTGTGTGGATAGGCCAATTTATCAATATTTCAAAGAATGTTTTAGAGCATTGATAATGATATTTTACAAATTTGATATTTTCATTCTACAAGACATATATTCCAATACTCATTTTTTAAAAAATATGTTCAATGTTCCATGACTAACAAGCAGGTGTGTGTCCCCATAACTCCCTAGAATGCAAAACAGAAACATTAACAGAACATTGGAGGTAAAAAATCCTCACAAATAAGATGAGTGAGAAGAAGAGGTCCAAAATCTTAAAAAAAAAAATTACTTCTTTTGAGGCAGACTCCTTGTTCTTTGTGTAGCATTTATTAGTTTAAGATTCACCTAGAATTCAGCAGACCATGCCACATATTAAAAATATCCATTACTATTTCTTACAGTTCTGAGGACTGGTTGGATGGTACTTCTGTGGTTTTGTTTGGGCTTACACAGTTATATTCAGCTGTAGCAGGGGTCACAAAATTTCTGTAAAAGGACAGAACACATATTTTTGAACTTGTGTTTGTCATTCTTTAATTTTTGTTAATAAAACTTTAAAAAGCAAACCTTATTCTTAAAAATATGCTGAGTGGTCTTCCCTGTGACCTCGGGGTTAAGTCATAGTGTTCTCACCGCCTTGGCCTAAATTCCATCTTGACCAGGATGCTAACCCACAGATTGCACAGCAGACTTCTCCTGTCATGCCTGCTGCTCCCCTTAGCAGTGTATTTCAGTAAATCAACTTGTTCTGCTCCCCACTCCGTCTGGTGAATCCTCTCACCCACTGAATATCTGGCCTATATCCCAGATGTTCTATGCTAAATAAATACATTATATGTTGAGGGCCAGACTTAGCCCACAAACTCTAGATTGCCAACTCTGAACTGGAGAGTCAACTGAACTAAAGGTGCAAAGTGTTTCAGTGACCTAACAGTTAGTGACCTAACAGTGCTGCTGCCCACTGAGGGCCCTGATTCTCCTCTGGGACAATCCTCCAGGAAGATCCTTACATAGAGAAGAAGTTGTGACCTCTCATCCTCCACAGGTTATAGCTACTTCTCAGTCTGTGGGCCGTACTGGAGACAGTACAGGCTGAAGTCATCAGTCTTGTTAAGGTATTGCTTGACAAGTCAAATAAAGTCACTTGTTTCTTTTTGGATCAGAGAAAATTGCAAACCAACAAGGAATGGGCACATAGAATCCCTGTGAATGGAAAGAGCCAAAGGTGCTGTGGCCACAATTAGCTGAACTAGGTAGTAGATTTATACTGTGTGTACCATGAAGGTATTTGGAAGACTGACCTTAACATTATCATAGGTTGACTCTCAGAGCCTGCTTCAGATAATTTAAAACTGAGTCAAAAATTTTTGAATTTATAATCTCTGATGACCACTATTGTTCTTACTCTCTCCTTTGCCCTACTTCAATCTGTAGCTCCTGAACTTCCTGGAAGCCAGAAAGAAAGATTGAGAGGTTTGATAAGATGGCAGGAATACTTCATGCTTTCTGATGCCTTCAGTCTTGTCAGCTCATTTCTCTTTCTGTGAGCATTCACTTGTTTGTACTTGTTTGCCAGTGTCACTGTCTTGAGATTATCAGCTCTCTGAGAGAAAATACTATGTCCTACCAATCAGCCTTGCTGAGACCTATTTTCAATAGATGTGGTTGGAATTTAATTGAATAGCCTATCTTACATTTAAAGTTAGGTTCTTTGCTTACTTAACAAAAGCCAAACAAATTTAAGAAGTTAGCACTACCTACAGATTCTAGAACAGAATGCATCAAAGAGTAACATTTCACACCCAGTATTCTGTAATCAATCAAATAGTTAAACTTTCTAGCAGTTTTCCAAACATTTAATCAAGAGTTAAGCAGTATGCTTAATGATAAGTTTGAAGTAGCAGTCACCTTTAAGGGCATATTATGTTTTGACTTACATATGAATAGGGAACATATAACAGTTTGTAATATAGACTGTGTATGTTCCAAGGCAGAAGTGATACTGGAGATGTTTTCTAAACTACAGTACCTGCTGTTACTAATGGCTCCATTGAATGGGAATTTTCAAAATGTGTTTTCTCCCAATCCTCATTGTAATTCTGTTTTATTCCACTTGATGGAAACCTTTGACAATTCATTATGTTTCAAAGCAGCAGAGATATATTTCTGGCTGATGATTCATTATCTTCATTTTGTTTCAGAGTGTAATATCCATAGAAGGGGGAGTTCCCATGTTCTCTGCCCCACCTAATGAAAGGTGGAGCTGAGCAGTGAGGAGAAGCTGAAGAAGACACGAAGAGGACTTGGAGGAAGCACATGGAACAGAGAGACATGTGAAGAAGTCCTGCTTGTTTCTCAGTGCTGGACTTGGGGGACATGGAAGGAGACATATGGAGTTAAGACATGTAGAGAC